GGGACCTGATGCCTTGCTAGTGTTCAACACCTTGAATATATTACGTACTGCTTCAGGATTTGTGTATATATCAGAAAGTGTAGGTCTATTATCATCCACGGTAATAGTAGGTAATTCTGGTTTCTCAACACACTCAGGGACAGTACACTGCTCAGAGAAAAAAATATTGAAATTGTTGGCCTTATCCAGGTCATCATGTATGAGATGGTTATTATCAACGAGTGGGGGAATAAGTTGTACATTGTTTTTGCCTAACAAAGATTTAGAAATAGCCCAAAATTGTTTTGGATTTGTATTTTTATGACTTAATTTTCTAATTGTAAAATCTTGGTAGCTTTTTAAGGCATCACGCTTGACCCTATTCGCTTCTCGACGTGCTACTTGGAACCTTAAGTTATCAAAATCATTTTTGGTACGCTGAAATAACTTGTAGTACCTGTCCCTTTTCCTAAAAGCTCTGCATACTTCATTTGTAATCCACGGTTTGTCACGGGGACGAATAGTAACAACTTTATTCACTATAAACAATTTACAGGTATCTAAAATAAAAGTATTTACAGTAGTAATTATATCACTTAGAGAATCTAAAACGTTAACAAATATGTCAATATGAGCAGTTGAGAAAGCATTATTCAAACCTTCGATATCTGCTGTTTTATAATCCCGTACAGTTCTCTTATATGACTTCTGTTTTGGTACTTGATACCTCAGATTACAGGTAATAGTACTATGGTCAAAATTACAGAGAGGGGTAGTTACCTGACTATCAACGACCCAATGGGCTTTGTCGATAAAAATAAAATCAAGGATGTGAGCTGAGTTATGAGTAATATGTTCCGGTTCATGAATCAATTGATGTAAATTATTTTGGGTAGCAGCATCAAAGAGGCGACGTCCGAGTTCACTTGTGGAATACTGATCATAGACTTTCTAGCCTATAGTTTCACACCGCAGAGAGTGGCGAGTGGTAGCAACAAAAAATACCTCTATACGGGTATATACGTGACAGATCCGTATCGGCTAGGTCTCCCGTTTAACAAACACAACTCTTAAAATTTATCGGAGTGTGCATTTAGTTTTATTTGCAAAATGAGAGTAATGTAGAATAAACGAAAAAATAATTTTCCGTCAGATAAGAAAATGCTAAATCTGGTGTATAGAACATGTATATGGAGAGAAAAACATGGAACCTCGTGATACATTTATATTGTGGAGAACACTGTAATTATCGAAATATTTTATCTTAGTGATGTAATTTAGTGTTTCATACATAATTGATGTCAATAAAATCAAATGTTTTAATTTTACATAAAGAATATACAGTGTTGTTAATTTGTCATTATTATATGTACATAGTATCACTTATCAATAACGGTAGACCCGTTGAAGTCATTTTGTAAATACTGATACATTTTTGTATTTTGGTGGTACCACAGGAAATAACTTTAGTATATAGCATATATATTCAGTCCAGACTTCTTTACCCTTGATTCTGCTATTTGATTACAATTAAAACCACTAACCAAGATAAATTATGTGTCTTGTATTTGTGGTAATCCTTGTGAAAACGTCTTTTTACTACTTTTTATAAAAGATTTATATCATCAATTTCACTACCTTGAATGTTACGTTCAATTTGTATACAATTGTTCGGAAATCCTCTTTTCACCCTAGACCTTAACTCACATAGTTTCGGACATGTGCAGTCTGCCACTAAGTCTAATAACGCATTTTGAATTATATAGCAATGATTATTGTAGATATACAATATGTATACAGATGTTTAATTTGATCACTTTTTGTAAAGTTCATATGGTTGTTTACTGTGTATATAATGTTATCGTCACACTTATCTAATTCTTCAAAACTGTGAAATGTTTATTTGCAACCTACCGTTGCAACATAGGTGATCTCGATCTTGCACTTGAAAATCACAAACACGGACAACGACATGTCTCTTAATTGTTATTGTAACTAGATCTTGTCACTAATCCCATGTACAGGATGAACACAATATATGCATGGTCGGTTTATTTAGCACATTAAAAGTGCAGATTAGGTTAAGAATCTGTGTCATGCTTGTCATAATATGTGTAATCACTACCATCTAATGTTCAAAATCACCTAGCAAATATTATTCATAGATTGAATATAACCTTGAAGTTTCCCTCCTTCACTAATTCATGCATCGTGGTAAATCTTAAAAAATTTCAAGTCGTGTAGTTCTTTTCAGCATATCTTGGCATCGACAAAATAATAAATGCCGAGTAATGTTGTTGATTCGTTTTATCGTTCTAAAATGACTTGTCACGGATTCGTGAACATGAGACTTGATTAAACTTTTTAAATATATCAAATAGTTTTGTAAAAAACTTCGAAAATTCAGGAAGACACAATCTTGAAGAATATAATCAAACAGATGCTGTTCTCTAATGAAGCTACTGTTTACGAGATTGAAAAATACAAGAGCACTTAAAGGTACAAAACAACAAATAGAAGATACCAACATGTCAACGCAATCCTATTTCAATTGCAATTGATATAGGGCGAAATATGAACAAAAGAAAGATTGACGTGGAGACTCCTTAAACATCTCAAGGGGAATAAGACCAGCCATGTAAATCTTGTTAATCACATTCTCACATGAAAACAAAGTATACAACATTATTAAGATATTTGCAAACAAACACGTTTATTTTCCATCCAATCGGCTGAAATTTAATGTAAGGGAATTGAATTTGGTACAACCAACTTTTAGTGAAAAATCGCGTTTTTGCAAAAAAGTGCAATGATGAATTCGCGTATTCACAACGGTTCCTTCATGAGCATAATTTATAGAAAGTGCAATCAGTACAATCGCATTGTAGTGTAACACTTTCACTGCGGAAAGCGCTAACATAAGGTTACTACTTAAATATAAACTTTCAGTTCACACCTCAGCAAAGCTGCAAATAGAAAGTTAAAAAATCGTCTTATTCGGTAAAGGCATTGAAAAACCTTAACTCCTAGCTGAACAATAGCAAAAAGAGTGATTGATATATTTGCTGATAAAACGCGCTTCATATATCTTCTTAATGTTCCATTGTTTGGCAAAAGCCTCGTCATGCAGAAAGAATGACCTGTTTGATATTTTAGTGCGTAAAAACACTACAATATTATTCAAAACGTGGATGGATTACTCAGCTAGAAGTCTTTCGCTTATGTTATGTTGATTTTTTAGTACTTTAAAGCCTGAAAAAATGATACGCCGGTAATTGTTGAAATTTTTTTACTATATCATACGTTATGTAAGCTGTTACCCGCTTCAGTAATCATAAACTGTAAGTGAATGCAAGGACTGCTTTTGTGTTTCATTGTGATCACGTAGTGTCAACGTGTATTCGGCTTAACAGGAGTCTGACAATTTAATTTCGTGAGGTTTTCTTCCATATTGTGGACGGTTATCTAGATTTTATTACAACACCGACTGGTAAGTATTATTATATTGTTAATACATCAACCTATTCTTTGATAAAAGAAAACGGCCCCTGATCTAAGTGAGTCGGTTACTGAATCATTTCATGTTAATACAGTCTGTATATTGGCTTTGGCTACGATTGTAGTTATCTTTGGACTGTATGATATAATGAACTGAATAACACTACTCCGACATGGCACCACTCAAATATGTCCCAATACCTGGTTTAAGGTAGTCGAAAGAACTAGGAACGGTTACCGAGCCAAAATTTTAGACTGCTAAATTATTTGCCAAGGCAGCGACGGTGTGGATTAGAAACGTAAAAGACCACCATAAAGCTTGTTAAACGCTACAAAACGTGACAGTAGGCATTGTAGGCATCTGCGTTACGGCATGGTGAGTTGTTTGAAAGTCCTATTCCTTGCCTACTGCCACAAGATCACAAATTTTTCGTCATATTTAGCATTCATATCCTCCCCTTGAAATATTTTTATAAAATGATTGCTGTTGCTTGAGCGGATGTCTTTTATACCGAGGGCACAATCGTGCTCCAAACCTCTCCTGTGTTCTCGTTTGATCTGTAAGGGGTTTTGACAGAACGCGAAAAACGCACCAGATCTGCATGGAGACATAAAAAAGTGAGGGATCCATCAGAACGCATCGAACCGGGATGCAACATATACGCATGGGGTTGCCGTGGCCGCCAGGAACATAACGTAAACACATTTGCTTCTGTTTGACTGTACTCAGTCACAAGTCGAGCTCTTTGTGGTCGAACATTACCTTCCATCAGTTCAAACTCAGAACCGATGGCATCTGCGCGCACGATGTGCGATTATATTGCATAGATGTGCAATTCTATCGTGGTTAATGTAAATTTCGAATTGTCGGATAGGATTTTAGTATATAAGAGAACATTTAAGTATATTTCCTAATTAAATCACATGTCTATAGGTTGGATACATGTATATATATCAGGTACAGACTCAATAGTTATATAGACTTGTAATTTAAAGTGGCAAGGAGAGTCAAACTGAATTCATTTGAATGGCAGAAATAATCACATCTACAATGATCCTTAACTGTTTGAGTCCAGTATATATTCAAACGACTAGAAGGAACATTCACTTCATAGCATTTTCGTCTTACATGTGAATGAAACCAAATGATATACATAATATTCATTTACGTGCAGCAATACTGTAAGGGGATTTGGTTTCGTGGTTACCATTTTACGTAAAATCCAGCATTATTTTCATTTTTAAAAATCATGAAATTTGATCCGTATGGCAATGAAAGGAAGAATATTTAGAGAACACATATTGTCATTTCTGCAGTATACCTTATCGCAAGAAACGTTCAAACAAAAATGTTCAATAAATAAAGCTTATTTGCATTGAAAAAGAAACTGTTTTTGTTAATATTGAAAGCTCGCTTCCTTCTTACGCCGTAATTTTCATTAAACTTCGGTCAATTTAAAGCATCTTTATACCATTTTTGATAATATATATGTATTAATATGATAATCAGGAATATAAAAAAGATGTCTCCAGATGATGTGGTTATTCAACAACCGAAACGAGCTCAGCCCCCAGACGGTGGATGGGGATGGATGGTCATGTTTTCTTCCTTTATGGTCAACGTCTTACTTGATGGAGTGATATTTACATACGGCATTTTCTTCCCAGAATTTCTAAGTTATTTTGGAGAAAGCAAAGGAAAGACACAACTGTTACATTCGGTACTTGTTGGAACCTGTCTTGTCACTGGTGAGTTAGAATGGTTTCAGTGACATTTATGTCTTCGATACAAATCACTGAAATAACTTGCTGAATCAACAAGTGAATAGAAAAAGAAAGAAAAAAAAAACAAAAAAAAACAAAAAAAACAAAAAAAACAAAAACAAAAAACATAACAAATTGTCATTTTACGTCATAAACTTTCTGCAATATATGCAGTAACCTGGTAACGAAACAAGTTCGAATAGAACGAAATCAGGAAAAAACAGAGTTCAGTGCAGATTCATTTAGATTAAACTCGCTAGTATTCAACCCTGAGTGACACTTCATAATATGAAGCTATTTGAGACTATCATTAGGGTTTGCAAATGCGATATAGCTAAGAAAAGGATAGTGATCATTAGTCAATTGCAAATACCACCCAATCCCCACTTTTTGTTGTTTGTATTTTCAACTGGAATCGTGATTGTGTGTCTATCAATATGTATATCCAAATGAAAACTTTAAGATAAATATTAATTTGGTTTCTATTAGGACCTGTTGCCAGTGCCTTGGTGAACAGGTATGGATGTAGATTGGTATGTAGAAGTGGAGCCGTCATCGCCAGCGTTGGGCTCTTCATTTCCTCATTTTCACCAAACCTGGACGTGATGATAATCTTTTACGGAATTACAGGGGGTACTCGCATTTCAATCTTGTTATGGACAAATACGTCCTCTGTAAACAAATGCTGAACAGTTACAAAACCAGTGATATCGACCTTATAAAATACATCTTTTTATGTTAATTTGATTTCACAATCACATTTCCAGACGAACGGTATCTTCAATGAACTTAATCATGGATGTAATAAATTGCATTGTTTTTTATTTAACAATATTTGTCAGAATATTGAAATATATGCATGTAGATTGTAGAAAAATGGTGAAGAAAAATGCCATTTTAATGGTTATTAAAAATGAAGCAAGTATAATCTAAAACCATATAAATAGATGGATCGTGATACATTTACGTGAGAAAATTTCTATCATTTTTGTTTGTTTTGTAGTGAAATGTTCTATTCAATTGTATGTTTTTCACAATCTTATAGGTATCGGATTTGGACTATTTTACTTACCGTCGATCGTGATAATTGGTGAATATTTCGATAAACGAATAGCGTTGGCGACAGGAATTGCCGTTTGTGGTGCTGGAGTAGGTGCCTTTGTATTTGCCCCACTCACTGAATTTCTTTTGGAAACATACAACTGGCGTGGAACCATGTGGATTATTTCGGCAATCATTCTCAACGTGGTTGTTGTTTCTGCAACCTACAGACCACTGGAAACTGATATAAACAAGGCCACTGTAAAAATAAACAACGCTTATGATAAAAAAAATATATTAACTGAAAAAAAATCAGATCCGTTATGTAAACAGATTTGCTCATCAATGAAAGACATGTTCGACTTTTCACTCCTTAAAAGCCCCACTATGTTGATGTATGGAGCATCATGTCTTCTCGTCATGTTTGGTAATATCTGGATTAATTATAATGTAAATTACCTTTGAAATTTATACAAACGAAAAAAATCAGATGGTTAATTCGTACATTTACATAAATCTAATAAAAAGTTAAAACATATTACTAGTGCACAACTATAACGGAAAATTATAAGACTAGACATGTATCGTTTTTATACATCGAAAATGCAATCTTCTTGTTGCAGGTTTTTTTGTTCCATCGAATTTTCTGCCTGTTTGGGCTAGCGAGGTCAACTTATCATCAGATGAGGGAGCATTACTCATTTTAATCATGGGCGTATCTAACACTGTTTCACGTGTTGTGGTTGGCTACATAACGGACAAGCACTGGGCCAATAGTTTGATGATAAACAACACAGCCCTTTTAATTGGTGGAGTAGCTACAGGCTTGGTGCCTTTCTATACCACATTTGAAAGTCTTGCCATTTATGCCTTTGTGTTTGGCGCAGTCATGGGTAAAGTTATTACTTAAATATATTGAAGGGTTCATTTCATATCTAGTATCTATGAATATATAGCCCCTGATTCGATAGATTTGCACGGAAAGCTATGGTTTTCAGATAATTATTTAGATAAAAGAACAACCACATGATGTCAACAAATATGTTTTAACGTTGTTTTCCTAACTGCTTATAATAAGATACTGTAAAATCATAATTTTTCGTGTGGTTTATTTTCGTGGTTAAAAATCATTGAAACTTTCCAACAATATAGCTCAGTATACTAATTTTGACAGTTCGTGGCCATAAGAATTGCGTTTGTATCGGTTTGTATTATTTACCGATAGCGTTATTTTGATATTATTTCCATGTATTAATTGTTTACAGCGATTTTTATTTGTCTGAGAAGTATACTCATGTCAGAGCTATTGGGGGTACACAGACTCAACAGTTCATTTGGATTGGTAGGACTGAGCATGGGACTGTCTACATTTGTTGGGTCGCCTATAGCAGGTAAATTGTATATAAATGTTTATGGCTGTTTGCAGGTGCTAATTTGTTGGTAGTGTTTAATTGAAATACTAACCTGTGAGGTTTTTTTTTCATTTTTCGATAAAACTCCTTTTGTATTTGTTAGCTTGAAACGAATGCACTTCCGGTATCTTTCTAAATCGTTCATATTTGCTCTCTGACACATCATCTGCACAAATGATATTTAAACTTTTTAAACATTCACCAAGGACCGTTGAGAATTGCTTTTAATATAAATCACTATTCACAAACAGACCGAAAGAAGTACATATATATCGATTATTTTATATAATTGAACGTCATATCATTATTTTCCAGGTGCGTTGTCAGACATGAGTGGGAACTACAACATGTCATTCTACTTCGGCGGCATTACTCTCGGATTAGGAGGGTTTATTTGTATCCCACTCAGACGGATTGCAAAATGGGAGAGAAGTCATAACAACACATTCAACATGTCTTCTTCACATGATCACGACGATGATGAAGAAAGGAAAAAAGTGAAAATATCTGTGAAAAGAAAATCACATGTTTATACAATATCAGAAAACACTGGAAGACATATGGACTACAAATAGGGAGGGAAGCCATTTTTTACGAACAGTAACGTAAGCCATATGTTGATATAGCATACAATATCATAAAATGACTTGATTGATAGTTGAAAAACTGATAACAGGTTTTGATGTACGTCATTATCGCGTCTAATATTTCAGTTTATATGCCTAGTTTTTTGTTTTGTTTTGTTTTGTTTTTTTGTTTTGTTTTTGTTTGTTTTTTGTGAAGTATCATTTGTAATGATGGTACCAAACGTAAATGCAAAATTGTAACAAGAGCAACATTCACTGTCGTTGTTCGATTAAACTTGTCCATCTTACAGGCATGCTGCTTTCCTGGAGATGATTATGTATTCATTGATTGCATCAATGCTGTTTCTGAGACGTGCTCTTGCTATTTCCTATAAAGACTATATAAAAAAAAATTAAAGAATTCAAATATGGAATTTGGAGACTAAGATTCTAAATGCATAAAATTAACCATTTTCTGTCTACATATACAAAGACTGAAACTTAAGTAAGATGGACGGAGGACTGTACGAAAGGCACACATTTGACAATGCAAATCTAACCCTAGCATAGATAAAGTAGACGTTAAAAATGAATTAAGCTGCATCGTGCTGCTGTTTCGTCCTTCTAGGACTTGTGAGTGATGTTACATCATACAGCTGTTACGTCCTTTGATCCAAAACCATATATTTAGTTAAGACTCGACAGTCAGTTATGTTAGTTAACGCTGAACCGTTAGTATACTGTGTACCATAAGTTCTGGTGTTTGCTTACTGTTAGGGATAATTACGTAATATTGGTTTTAGTACTGGTATTATTTTATTTTCATGCACTCGGATCGAAATATCGGCGGTGTATTGTTTTTGTGCTCTCTGTTAGTTTGTTTGTTTGTCTGTTGTCAACTTCAACCTTGTCCATAACTTGCACCGAAAAAATTATTTTGTTACAATCGAGGGTAAAGTGTTTCATAAACACATCTTGTTTTTAATATTGTGGTCTGTCGATCGAATATATGAGAGTGGAATTAACTCTGTGTATTGTGAAACATTTTCTTCGGATTATTTAGCATTTATCGAATGTATGTTCATATATCGTAGTCAGTTTGAAAATTGGTGTGACATTGTTAAGTTGCTTCAATCAAACAAATTACCATATAATAAAGACTTAATCATAAAACCGTAAGTAACTCCATTTCCTATCCAGTACCACTAAGCTATTATCTCTGTGGATGCGTTCTATGTCTATGGAGTGGATATCTCGAGAGACATTTAGATGGACGGCTCTTTTTGAATGATTTGGACAATGTTCTTTCCGGTAAGCTGAACGTAGACTAAGAAGATCAAACTGAAAATTCAACTGGTACCTTCACTTTCAAAATAGATCAGCTTTGCGTTGCACGGATCTCATGACGCTTTGCCTACGGAAGCTGAGAGTAGGTCTCGAACCAATACTACTGGTTTGCAAAAGAATGGAATGACAATTGATGGCAATTTACTTCAAGAGAGACCCTCACACCCCAGCATTGCAACGTTTGATGGCACAACAGAACGGAGACCTAGTTTAGTTGCAATTTCAAAGAATGACCAAGAGATACCATTGAGACTCCTCTAAAAAAATGACAAGATTGTGGAAGCACCTAAGGGAGAAGATCTTAAATATCTTTGTTTCAGATCAGCCAAGACCCAAGATGACTATGGTCTCATGGTAGCATAGAAAAAAGTACCATGATGAATGTGATGGACAAAAAAATCCATGAGAACATGAGACGGGACACTGACGCTGGTGAAAGAAGTAAATAACCATAATTATCACACAAAAAAACCCAATAATTAAGGACAATTTTTTTGCAAAGTCTAATTGACGAAGAGAAAGGTGAAGCTACTATGGTTTTTTATTTCATTATTTATTTCTTTTCGATATTTATAATTTTTTCAAAATTAATATCTTGATATTCTATGATATTGTTTACTATTGTTTTTATATATTTGATGTAAAAGTGAACCTGTCGTTTACCAGTTTTTTACTGCACTAGATATTTCATATGATAGGCCCTATTTGGATCTTTCCGATTTTCAAAGCATGGATTTTCCGTGGAGAGAGAGAGAGAGAGAGAGAGAGAGAGAGAGAGAGAGAGAGAGAGAGAGAGAGAGAGAGATTTGCCTATAATTTCCTCCCTTTAAAATAACGATGTTGCAAATGGTGCAACATGTTCTTTCGTGCAAACATTTTCATTCACTTATATATTGTCATTATGGCCATAAATATATTTTTGTTAAAGTTATAGTAACAAAAGACACAAAATTTGGCGCATCGAATCATGCCTTAGTAACATATCCTTTATATATAATACATCGAATGCGAATCGTGCCTCAGTAACATATACTGTGTATAAACTACGTCCAATGGGAATCGTGCACTTCGTAACCTGATCTTGAGAGATTATTTAAGGCATGCAAAAGAAGGAGGGTTTCCAATTGCTGTTATAGATAAATTGTTAGACATGCGCTTAAAAATTGAAACGTGATGTCACGAAACCGCCGTGTCGGACTATGTTATTTGACCATAGACAAAATATTGACACTGATTCACTTGCAGTGTTATAAAGTGAAACGGACTCAAAATGCAGTCAACGGATACTTTAATACCAATTTGAACAAAAGCAAAAAATGAAGATACATTTCTACTGTCTTGTCAAGGTCAGGTCTGTGCCATATATGAAATTACCTGTACAGAAGTAATTTACATGTTGCATCAGTACTTCGATGTTATAATATACAGTGTATCGATGTGATGTGACGCAAACGAAATAAAATGTTTAAGTACATCATTTGTCACATTTATTTTCATTTTGGAAAAAAGAAAGTAGATATGAAAGGGAATTACAATTTGGAGAAGTTACTGAAGTAGGAAAAGCCGCGTACATGCGAGTCTTGAGAATTCCTCGAAGAGGGTCGTAACAAATATTCTCCAACTGATTATGAACTTTTGGCATTTTTTATCTCGTTTCGTATGTCCTTTTCAGATTCTTGGTCCAGCCTTCTTGATTAAATTTTGGTCTGTTCAAACACAGCTCTTTGACATTCGTATTGTAGAAATCGATTCCCTTCGTCAGCTGGATTGCTGTTTGCGTTGATATGTTCACTGTGCTGGTTCATTGTAGTTCGGAAGACGATGGCGAAGGAGATCTTTCTTCATAAAGACTTAAGTCTAACTTGGTCTTTTCTTACCACCTATCCTTTGCTTTTTTCCATTAATACGCTTGGGGAGTGATTCCGAGGAATCACAGCAATATCGCTCAGGGTGCTAATACTTGGAATCTTGTCACTGCTAATGGAGGGTCTATATCAAGGCTTTGAACATGATAATAATATTTAGGCAAGACGGATTAATGTCTATATAGGAATTTGTCTATCTCTTTTTGTGGTGAAAGCTCTCCAGATCTTGGCAGTACGCGTAAAAACCTCGCTGTCTTGGCACTCCGTGTTTTCATTCTCGCTGTTGAGAAGAAAACACTCGCAGCCTCCTTTTCTAATATTGCCTTCTACTAGGCAACGTAAGGACAGACGTGCGTTTTTCTAGTGAATTTATGTATTGCAGGTTTCTACTATGCAAACTTGTCTCATATTTAAGGTTTATTGCAGACACTGACTCGCATTGAGACAGTGCAGAAACTGGAAATACAAAACATACTGTATTCAATACATTGCATGTGTCACTATTACAGTTGTGGTAACACACAACGCCCCAAAACTTCGTGTTAGTTTTCCTGTATACGGGTAGGTACATGACAGGTTAGGATCCGTACCGGCTATGTCGCCCGTTTAACAAACACAACACTTAAGATTTATATCAGCATATATTTGTTTTTGTTTAAAATGAAAATTGAGAATAATACGGGAGTAATGAAAATAAAATTTCCTTTCTGTCTATATGGGATTCTGAATTATCCATTGCTGTGACATAAAGATGCGTCCATTTCATGTTAACATATATAACGTGTGTCCGTACACTACAATTGGTCACGTATGACTCTTTGTATACAAAACTTTTAAAACTACGGGTGTATCTAACTAATCAGTGTGTATATTATATAACTGCAACCTACATATTAATGGATTAATATACTTTGTTGTATTCTTATATCTATAGAGAATATATAAACCTACCACACACTTATTTATAAGTCATTTCTAAATGGATGTCAACCACGAGAGAATTGCACATTTGAGCGATAGAACCGCACAACGTGCGCATATATGTGCGATAGCTTATTCGTCCAATTTTCCTATTGTGCACATATCGTGCAGACATCGTGCGCGCATCGTGTAACTTTGTGCGATCCCACAACTGTATATGGTAAGCAGAAGTTCGGTAACATCCAAATAAATTATTTGACAAAAATGCATCGTTATCATGACAAAGTATGTTATTTCAAAAGTTCTGCTGTTGATTCACAATATGACACTGGTTTTATCAATCTATATTCAATTATAACGATATGCAGGAGTGAAATATTTGAAAGCTCATGGTGTGTTCGCTGTGTTTTTTCATAAACGGGAAGTTAACAGTAAAAGGTAGGACTGGGGAGGGAAAGTACGACAGCACAGTATGTGAAGGTAGATTCAGCGACCACCTGCCTTGAAGAACTGACACAGCAAACATCGAACGGAGCGTCTGCATAAGATACCTCGCGGGCCCTGACACAGCATACACCGAACGACGTCTCTGCGCCATTAGATACCTCGCAGCCCCCGACACAGCATACCTCGAACGGAATCTGCATTACCAGATATCCTCGCATGGTGTGACACAGCATATATTATTCATCTTAACAAAAGCTGTGATGGCAGCATAAAACAATAAGGGGACGTAATTAAATACTTTTGGCGGAACCTTATATGTCCCTCAACTAAGATAGACATAGGATCTACATGACCAAATGTATTATGAACTGACAACGATATACATACGTAACCACCGAGACATCACTGGAAAGTCTAATACGTAAAAGGGTGCTTGAATTACTCTTACAGAACAATATAACTGACATAAAGTACAGCACAGATTTCAGGATCGGTCCCTAGAAAATCTTACCTATATTGTTAAGTTGTCAAACATCGACATTAACGAATTTATTCGTTACGAAAAAATAAGAATCAATGCGGTATTCATGGTTACAATACTTTGTTATCTATTTCATGTACTGTTCATACTAGCTGCGTGCAGTAAAAATCACGTTTAGCAATATAAATTGTAATTTGTTTACGAAATCCATAGACGTTTTACTGTTATCATTTATAAACATTGATTTATTGAAATACACTGGAAATCACCATTATTGCTTCGTATTAATACTTTATATACAGTTGAGTTTTTATTATTTTTGCCACGCTTGTTTGAGCCACCTTCACATTTACAAGTCAAAGATCGGCAATGTATTCCCAGTTTCCAGAGTTGTCTACGCATAGACATAAGGCTACCCGCTGTAAAGAAAATGTAAAAATATAAAAGTTCCAGTGCATGAAATTTGTCTTTACCTATTCTTAGTAAATCAACAACATACCAATATCCTCGTGGGAACAGTCTGAATCTAAATAAAAAGCTAAAAGTTGATTATAAGAATGAAACATACACTGACTGACGATTTCAAGACAAAAACTCAACAAAAAAGAAATGTCAGCCTTTTTATTTTGTACTAATGAAGGGATCACTTTAAAGTTAAAGTGAAAACGCATAGGCAGTCATGAAATGAGACTGTGGAAGTATATGTGAGAAAATGTCGTTCGCTACCGGGACCTTTAGTATAACCACACCAATCCCGTTCAGACGGAAAAGCGTAGTAATCTGTATCGCGTGTAATTTCTATTTCAGGGTGCACAATTGATAGCTGATATATGTGATTTGATTCTGCACATGTAAATCAGGTTTCATGTATATTTATGTTTGAATGAATATGCTGAATATATTATGGACAAAATCAAAGATTTCAGCAATCCAACTCATAAAAGAATACAGCAGTTTAGATGACGATTATGATGTAAGATGTATCCAAACCAGCTAGTAAGATTACTATTACTATTAGATACTATTAGATCTGAATATTATCATCAGGGATAAGAACTTTGTTTCATGCATGTTTTAAAGGTGTTTGCTGTATGGATTTTAAAGAGAAAATATATCATAAAAAAAATAGCGCCACATTTTATCTGATGACTCTTGTTTAATTTGTTGTTTTCCTATTTGATAAACTGAGCCAGTGAAAACGCTACGGAATTCTTCTCTAGTATCGGTAAATTAGTGTAAACCTTATCTGAATTCTAACCATGCATATATTCACATACCCTGGTAATTCAAGTCACTATATATCGTTACCTGAAACAAATACGTAATTGAAACAATTTATCACATCATGTTATTTCGAAAATACACTGAAAGAAAACCCAGGAATTCAGCTCAATTCATATAAGAAGGATAAAAAGCAAGGCGCGGCCGTTCCAATTCGAACTATTAGATCGAAGATTTTTGTCTAAATCGGTCAAATAATTTGTCCGAGACAATGATAATGTTTGTTATAGCTCAAACACAGCTTAGAACATTGACTTTTTCGAAAAAAATCATTGATAATTACTTTATCACAAACACAAAAAAATATTATTAGAAGAATTGATTGTTTCAGAACAATTCACGTCAAGTTAAATCAGGGTTGATCAAACTGTTGGTTCTTAAATAAAATGTTGAACTATAATATTTGGTCGCATTCAGATATTGGGGGACGATATTAAGGAAAAGTTGACCACAATATGATCAATATTGTTTTAATGGAAACAGGTTTTACTTTCTTAAATGGTCCCATCATTGGTAATATTCTCACCTAAAGTAAAAAAAAAAAAATTATTTGATTTTTCCAATTTCTATTTACATTAGAAAAAACCAATGCATATAAAAAAACCATAAATAAGTAAATTACCGACAAGTTCCTTAGAAAGGCAGCAGTACTGTTGGTAAGATCTTGATAGCCGAGCGTATTTTCTGTAATGATATTACAAATATCTGAGGAGGGTGATATAAAATACATAAAATAGCAGCATCATATAGTGACAGTTCTGGTGATGTTACTGATGTCAACACACACAGGACGAAGGATATTTATTTGTATTTACAATATTTACAGACGAAAATGTCAAAACGGCTTCATTTTCTTGCTTCTCCTTCACAATGTTAGCGGCGTTTCAGCATCAAAAAAGTTTGGAAATGAATCAATGCTTCTAGTGTCTTATAAAGAATCATTTCAGTCACTTTTAAAATGCTATAAAGACGGTTCCGTTTGCGTTCGTTACATTACGTTGTTAAAAGTAACGTCAAACTATTATGTCATATTGTACAATGAAAATCCATTAAAAATGGCAACTTTATTCACATTTAGGAAAGTGAAATATTTCTTTAAAACATACCGTTAAACGCGACAATAACACCATGTGCGCATTTATCATCCGTAATTAGTATTTTCATATTTTCCGCGTTTCCTATAGGTACGGTATTCGGGTATATTCGTGAGAGTTGTATGGTCCAATGGGAGTGCGACGCGTTATCCGCACGTGCAAGTTAAGAAAGTGTGTAAGGGTAGGCGAGGTATCGGGCATTCTAGCCGTGGACACCCACAAGTACAGTCAAGAAAAAATGGACCCGGCATCATTGGAAAACAAATTGCAAGAGCGCATTTCTGCTTCCCAGCACGACATGTTAGGCCAGCTCGAAACTATGTTAAGTAGGAAACTGGACTCTTTCAGAACAGAAATACAGGATTCCCAACGTCAGTTATCGGCAGACCAAATCTCAAAATTGGTGGAATTAAACACTCATTCTTATTCGTTCAGACATAAAGGCAACGAGGAGCAGTTCAAAGTTAACACCAAAGTTGTTGCTAAGTTGCAGGAGGCTCACTCTAGCATAGTTGAACAGCAGGATTTGGTTACGGCGGCCGACAAAATAACCGAGGGTATGAACATTTTAAAGTACAGGCAGAAACTCATAAGGTTAGCGGATTCTTCTGAAACGGGGTGGAAAATCGTAGCGGAGTATGAGGCTAATGAGCTGGCTGAGGATTCAGACGATGAAAAACAGAGGGCGGAAATCAGGGCTCAAAGGAAAGTAAAGGCACAGAGACAATCCAGGCAGAGGCGGTTCTCCCCGTACGGTGCCCCTCGACCACAGGGACCTGGAGACTTGTCACACATGGACGCGACAAAACCGACGATTCCGGCGCATAACAGGAGGTCAGGACTATGTTACTCTTGTGGAAAGCCAGGACACTGGAGGATAGGGTGTCAGCAGCAGCAACGTAGCGTTGGACAGGGACCAGACAAGTATTCATGTTTTTCCTGAAGGGAGAGTGTCCGTGTCCAATATTTTTGTAGCGAGCGTTGAGTGTGGTTTTACTACAGCGGTAGTAAAAACAGCTGATCAGCATGTTGGGTCAGAGGTCAGGTCACCTATTGGAATGTTACGGCGAGCGTTTGATGAATGGGAGCGCATTGATGCGTGTCCAGTAGTACTCGATATTATACGGTACGGGAATAAGTTACCTTTGTATCAGATTCCGGACGTCATAGTTCTCGGAAATAACAAGTCAGCGAGAGACAATGCTTTATTTGTGAGAAACGAAATCCTGAGTTTGTTAGAGAAAAGGTGTATTTCGGAAGTCACGGTCAGGCCAAGGGTAATAAATCCTTTAACGGTGGCTGGTAATACCAAAAAGTTGAGGTTAGTTTTGGATTGTAGGCACGTCAATCCATGTCTTCATAAGTTCAGATTTCGGTTTGAGGATTCAGCCGTTGCTTTAGAGCTGTTGAGAAAAGGAGATTGGTTGTTTTCTTTCGATTTGAAATCTGCTTACCATCATATTGAGATTTTCTCCGATCACAGAGAATATTTAGGATTTAGTTGGGATTTCGTTGGGGTCACGAAATACTTTGTTTTAAATGTTCTGCCATTCGGGCTTTCAACTGCAGGTTACGTATTTTCCAAGGTTACGAGGGAGTTGATAGAGTATTGGAGATCCAAAGGTCACAAGGTCATAATGTACTTGAACGACGGTTTAGGAGGCCACGGCCTGCAGGAACAGGCGCTGAAGTTGAGCAATGAAGTAAAGGTGGATTTAAACCGTTTCGGTTTTTTAATAGCTGATGAAAAATGTAGCTGGAAGCCATGTTTAGAGGCAGATTGGTTAGGTTTGGTTTGGAAGATGGGCGAAGGGAAGGTTTATATAACCGAAAAGAGATTGAGTAAGCTTGAATGCAGTTTAAGGGCCGTATTGGCAAGTCAGGGCGGTGACGCAAAGGGCGTCACCGCACGAGCTTTGGCGGGCGTGGTCGGTCAGATTATATCCATGAAAGTTGGTATAGGTCCCGTTACAAGGCTTATGACAAGATACATGTATGCCAACGTTTTAGCAAAGGCCAGTTGGGACTCTCGTATCTATATCACGAGTGACGCTTTGTTTGAGGTAAGATTTTGGTTGGAGAATGTTCGTAGTTTGAACGGACGTGTCATTGAGCAGCCAAAGTCGCATGACGTGGCGGTTTTTAGCGACGCCTCCGGTATAGGGTACGGAGGTTATATGTTGAATGTCAATGACAGTGAAGTACTAGGGGTGTGGTCCGAGGCCGAGAAGGCAGAGAGCTCTACATGGCGAGAGCTGGAGGCTGTGAGACGCATGATGAGAACGTATGACGAAAGCCTGGTAGGGCACTGCCTGGTAGGGCGTAAGGTGTTATGGTACACTGATAACCAAAATGTGGCTAGTATATTGGTGAACGGTAGCAAAAAGTGTCGTTTGCACGCACAGGCTAGAGACGTTTTCGGAATGTGTTCAGAAAAGACATCGAGTTGATTTCGGCCTGGATCCCAAGGGGAGATAATCTGGTGGCTGATTTGTATAGCAAAGCCGGAGATTCAGAGGATTAGGGTATTAAGCCGTCAATTTTCAATTTTTTGAATAAGGCTTGGGGCCCTTTTTCGGCGGATAGGTTCGCAAGTCCCTATAACGCAAAATGCGAGATTTTGAATTCCCGATGGTGGTGTCCGGGTACTTCAGGTATAGATGGCCTTATGCAACCCTGGGGTGGACTTAATAACTGGTTGGTTCCCCCTCCTAGGTTGGTGCCGAAAGTCGTCAATAAAATGATAGATGAAAAGGCTAAGGGGACTTTGATAGTGCCTTATTGGAAATCGGCTCCGTTCTGGCCTGTTTTGGCTCCCTTAGGCGGAAGTTTTGCTAGTTTTATTAAGGAGCATATAATATTGCCCGCAAACGCGGTAGACAATGGGAAGGGAAGAAACGGAATTTTTGAGAAAGGTGGGGTAAAAATGGTGGCATTAAGAATAGCATTTTGATTACAAACAGCTGTTTCTGTTTTGTTTGCAGGCTTAAAGCTGACGTCTACGATTCAGGCGGAAGTGGAATCTGAAGGCCCGCTTACTCCATGGTTACTTAAGTTATCTGAAAAAATGTCCCAATATTTGCTGCAAGCCAGGAGTGAATCTACAGTGTCCAGATACTTTTCATATTTCCGGAAGTGGGAGGATTTTATTGTGCGAGAGCACGCGTGTGCATTACCGGCCCAGCCAATACACGTGACCTTATACGTGTCTTACCTGTTGGACAAAGGGAGTTCTTACAACGTCGTTAACGCCGCTGTATATGCAATCAAATGGGCCCACAGCATTAGTAGCTTGCCTGATCCTACAGAGAACGGTGTCAAAAACATGGTCGAAGCAGCCAAACGTCAGGAAAGGACCCCGCGCGTGAAGAAAGACTGTGTCTCGTCGGAACTGTTAATACAACTTTGTAAGAAATATAAAGACAGTAATGACGCTTTAATAGTCAGAGACTTGGCAATGATAGTGGTCAGCTTCGCAGGGTTTCTCAGATTTGACGAGTTGAGCAGGTTGCGTATGAGGGATGTTGCGTTTAGAGATACGTATGTAAGTCTTAATATTGAGAAGAGTAAAACTGATCAATATAGGTTCGGGAGTGAGGTAGTCATTTCAAAAGGAGAGACTGTGGCGTGCCCGTATCGAATGCTTGAAAGATATATAAAGTTAAGCAATATCTTAGAACCAAATGACTTTCTTTTCAAACCTTTCGTACGTAGCGGAGGCGTATGTAAGCCAATTTTAAAATGTAAGGCGCTTAGTTATACTCGTGCAAGGGAGTGTGTGGTGCAGAGGTTGAAGGAAATAGACGGGGGTCTGAATTTAGGATTACATTCTTAAAGGGCGGGCGGCGCCACGCAGGCGGCTAATAGCGACGTAAATGACAGGTGCTGGAAAAGGCACGGGCGGTGGAAAACCGACGTCGCTAAGGACGGTTATGTCGCTGATTCCTTGGCCCGTAGGCTGCAGGTTACTCAGAAGTTAGGTCTTTAAATGTGTTCGAGCTATTCGTTTTGTTAGGCGTTTAGGCATTTGAGCATTTGTTCAACCTTTTTTATCTTATCGCCCGTTCTTTTATAGTCTATTGTCCACTACTGGCTCGCGGCAGTCATGTGTTAGAGTTATTGTTAGGAGATGAGTATAGAGAGGACTTTCATATTTTCCGCGTTTCGGAGAATAGCGGAAAATAATTGTCCTATAGGTACGGTATTCGGGTATCTTCGTGAGAGTTGTATGGTCCAATGGCAGTGCGACGCGTTGTCCGCACGTGCAAGTTAAGAAAGTGTTTAAGGGTAGGCGAGGTATCGGGCATTCTAGCCGTGGACACCCACAAGTACAGTCAAGAGAAATTTTGCCAAGTATTACATTTTTAACTGTATTTATTTCAGTACGGAATGGCTTTGAGTTGTTAAAAATCCAACGCGCTGAGCTTTAAGCATTGAGGGTTGGTACACTTCCTGTTTTCCTGATAGGTTTTCAGATTGAGTGGCTCGCTTAGCTCTTTATCTACTCAAGCCATTCCTGGGCGGAATGTATGCGGGTGTAAGAGTCGTTTGTGGAGTTATGAAAAATGTTTAAGTTTGTAAAGATATGTATTCTTGTCTTTATATTTCGGAATAAACGCCGGGTGACACTCTATTGTCCACTACTGGCTAGCGGCAGTCATGTGTTGGAGTTATTGTTAGGAGATGAGTATAGAGAGGACATATAATAGAGGGCGTCGTAATGCTGTCTCCAAGTTCGAGCACATAATGTTCGCCGATCCAAATCAAGAAGAAAAAAATAAACTTACGTATCAATTACTTTATTTCCTAATGGGACAATAAAGCTGACTTGTTATATATATACTGGGAAAACATATATAGTATAGTTATTTATCGCCAATGTTTTCAATAACATCATCTAGACCTGTACCTGCTTTCAAGTACAGAAAAATATCCATAACCCAATCAACCCTTAGAAATTGTCGAGTCCACATGTCTGCAACGATTCTACCATCAGCATACTTTTAGGGATACACACATCCCTGAAACGACACCAATATTATACGACAGTACGTTATGGGGAAATATTTAAACATTCAACTTTAATATTTTGTTGATCAGATTTTAAAAATATTTAATGTGGGATAAACTTTACTATACCAGATGGTTAGATGAACTAGCCACACTTTGACATTGTTCAAGGTTTACGTGCCGAAATATTTACTTCTGAATTTCAAAGCTTCTTGTCCTTTGTTTGTCGACGCCATTTCATCTAAAATGCTGAGTCATGCACATGAACATTTGCGCGTTGGAAAGAATTTCTAAACGACTCGGACGTTACTAGTTCAAGATAACTTTGTCAGCGAAACGAAGTGACGTAAACGAGACGTTGTTTAAAAAGAAAATTCATAACATATTATTTTGAATTATAGTTTCTTTAATGTTCAAAATCATCATTCTAACAGAGAAAAATGGTTTGTTCCGTTTCAATAATGGAAAATACTGACGTTTACGTAGAAGCCAGCAGACGACGAACGTAAAGAAAACCGCGCTAGCACTGTCAGACAATAGGTCAATGTAAAAAGGCATGTCCACAAGAATTTGGTACAATACCCAGCTTTTGATAAATAAAAAACAACTTCAGCATCTAATACTTTGTGTCCGTAATGCAAAGAGACATACATGTCCACATACATAACGAAGATATTTACACTTGTATGTAAAGCATGTTTACCTCAATATGCTGTTATTTTTTCTTCATACCCATGTTGAAATAAATGCATGCTGTCACCATGAAACCAGTTCTCACACAGATTATGGGATGTCAACATCAAGCAAGAATGAAAATGGTTTTCACATGTATTTGCTTTTTAATTAAATTAATCGCTGGTGAATTACTGATTTGATAAAGTAATGGAAAAAAATAAAAAAAGTACAGTACATATGATTCCATCCATAACAGCTGTCTGACTAAAAAGTTAAATGGAATTGATATCTAGAATGTACATTGCATATTTATTAAATAATTGAACAAATCCTCATCAAAAACATTGAAATTTGCTTGTCAGTAATCCAGTCATTTAGCTTTTCTGCCACAACATCTTTTTATCATTTGATTATCAGTAGTTCCTCACTTCTTGATAATTTCAGCTCAGACATCATACATCACAAATAAGGCAGCCCTTTGCAGAAACAAAATATGAAATAACTTTGTCATACCTAAGATGTTTGTCTCCACGGCGGCATCAGATCCACGAGATCATCAGTATCACAATGCCTTATCAGGCAAAAGATGTTGTTGCAAATGGATAGACGTGTCAGCCCCATTAGGCCTACTGTGTATCCAGTACATATTTCCTGGACACAACATCAAAATCTTTGTTTAAAAGTATTGCTCGTTAAAATCAGCAAATTCTGCATTATGCACATAAAATTCCCATTGATTAATTTCCATAGTTTGTCCATTTATCAACATTATTTAAGCATTTTAGCAATGTCATAATGACATGGACTGATTTGATATTTATTAAAGATAGTCCTTTATTTCTTCCATCATTCCAATTTGGAAGTTCGGTGAAACTGTGTTCTTTCTCTTGTGTATTGGTAATTGTATCCTATATACTGCAGTTCTTTCCAAACTTTGATAAGTACATTATTTTTTTTCAAAGAGGCATACATTGCACTCTGTTTATATGTCTATCATGGCATAGACACTTGCTACATTCTTTGTAGCATTTGATTTGTTAATCATTGGATGCTTTATTGCACTTTTATTGGTTTTAGAATATCCATATACTTTGAGAAGGGAGATAATTCAGCAGCTATTAACAAATAGAAATTGTTACAATTTTTTATTGCATTCGAAATTTCAATGTTGTTTTTATTGCAATATTGCAAATATATTTTGTTTGCATGATAATGTTTATTTCTTTGATTTTACACTTATTCATTTAAACATTATGTCTTTTTATGTATTTTTAGGTCCTTAAAATTTAGAATGTCACAATTATTTCATGTTAGTTTTGCAATGTTATATTATTTAATACATACAAAGAACTTTCATTACCCTTGGTTATCATATTTTAACCAAAGAGGAAAGAATAGCATTGATATTTTTTGTCAAGGGGATAATTCAAACCAATAATGTATACAAAAATTCTTGCTACTGAGAAATAGACCTTGAACATCGAACCAATTGCAACATGACAACGCCATAGATTTGGGAAGCAGGAATGTTGTTATATATAAATGGAGATATCATAACTGAATACTCATGTTCAGCACAGTATTAATACAGCTGAATGGGATGTTGCCTTTGTTGGTTTCATAGTAGGAAACAAATCAAGTTAAGCGACAGCTAGTCTGTCGTGTCCTTGATTGTCATTTCTGCTTGGTACATGGTCAATATACTGCTTGACCTTTACATCATCTAAGAGTGACATTGAATGACTTACCAATGGCGTTATGACCT